CTCAAACCCAAAAACAATTAAAAAAGGATAAAAAATGAACATCCCAAAAAACAAAAAACAAAATGAGTCCCTCGTGGCACTATCTTGTCCTAATATATATATTGTGTTAGAACATATTTTCTAATATATATTTTCAAAAAATTATGTATGTGAAATAAAATAATACAACAAAATTTCAGTATTTTTTGTTATTTATAAAATAACTATGTAATTTCTCTTCAATTTTTAATAGTTACTATAATTTCATTTTTATCAGACTCCGACAAATAGATTTCCACAGTCGATGACGCCGTAAATAAAAATGTCACATTATTCATGAAGAAAATCCAAACTTACAAAAAAACATATCCAAACCTATCTATTGAAACCCAAACAACAAATATTAGCTTAGATTAAAGTTATTTTCAAATTGATAAATCGTTTAGTACAAATATAAATACTATAAATAAATAATTATATCAAGTTTTGACCTCCGATATAAAAACTATTTCCAACATAAAAAATAAAAAACAAGATAGACACCTATTATTATACACTAGAAACTATATTATAATTTAGTTATTCCTATAAACATTACTTCGCATATAAATAACATTTTAACACATTATATATACAATATTTTCACTTTACACTCTTGCTACATTATTTCCATTTCATCACTAAAAACAAAACGAGTCCCACGCGGCACTATCATGCCTAATATATATTTATGTTAGAACATATTTTCAAATATATATTTTCAAAAAATTATGTATGTGAAATAAAATAAAACAACAAAAATTTCAGTATTTTTTTGTTATTTATAAAATAACTATGTAATTTCTATTCAATTATTAATAGTTACTATAATATCATTTTTATCAGACTCCGGCAAATGGATTTCCACAGTCGATGACACCGTAAATAAAAATGCCACATTATTCATGAACAGAATCTAAATTTACAAAAAAACATATCCAAACCTATCTATCGAAACCCAAACAACAAATATTAGCTTAAATTAAAGTTATTTGCAAATTGATAAATCGTTTAGTACAAATATAAATACTATAAATAAATAATTATATCAAGTTTTGACCTCCGATATAAAAACTATTTCCAACATAAAAAATAAAAAAACAAGATAGACACCTATTATTATACACTAGAAACTATATTATAATTTCGTTATTCCTGTAAACCTTACTTCGCATATAAATAACATTTAACATATTATATATATAATATTTTCACTTTACATTCTTGCTATATTCTTTCTATTTTATCATTATTTGGTACTATTAGAATAACCCACTAAACCAACAACCGAAAAAAGTATAGGCAAACATCAATGATCCCCGGCTCCACGCTTGCGCGGGGGTATGCAACTAGTATTATTATAGAGATATGCTAAACCTGAAAGAGGAAGACGGTTAAGACGGTCGAGGCAAAACAAATTCACATGCATCTTGCACGTGTAAAGCTTTGTAAAACGACTAACTAGACTAAGATTGACTCTGCGCTTGATAAAGATATTGAAATGACTTTTACATATTATTTTTTTGTCAACGAGTTTTACATATTATATTATATGTTTTATATATTATAAGAGAATATATATATATATATATATATATATATATATATTAGGTAATTAAAAATTCAGTAATCATTACGTATATAATTAAATTGGTGTAAATACATAAATAAATTTTATTAATCCAAACAACTACTTTTAATATTGTATATAATTAAATTTAAATAATATATACATAAATATATATATTATATTTAATATTACTATATGTTCAATGATGCGTTGTACTCATCTGGTTTTTAATGAGTTATATCTTTTAATAACAAAAACTCTAAATTATTGATAATAAAATTTTCATTGTGTGATGTTTGAAAGTTTTAGTGATTTATAATTTTTAAAAACATTCAATGCAAATTTTAAAATTTAGATATTAAAATTTCCTGTATTTGTTCAAAGCTTCTTAGAAAAAATAAATATTGTTCAAACCAAATTTAAAAATTAAAATAATTTGTATTTTTTATGGTATGTAGTTTAACTTAATATATATATTAAATTAGATTTTCTTGATAGTTTAACTTAATATATATATATATATATATATATATATATATATAATCTTGATATTTATTAAATGAGATTTTCTACTTATATGATTTTGCAATCATTTGTATCTTTTCATCAAAAAATAATTAAACCATAGATCATTAAATTTCAATGTGAGACTTCTTGTAAAATTCAATATATAATATATATGTAAACATTTAAAATTTTATTACATGGTTAATTTGGTTATATAATTTATTTAATAATTTAAATTTAAAAAAAGTGATAGAGAAACATTTGTATCAAATCTTTATTATTCAAAATCATAAATTTTCTAATATACTTTAGCCACATTACGTAATTCCATAAATTATAAGAGATATATGGTTTTTAATGAGTTATATCTTTTAATAACAAAAACTCTAAATTATTGATAACAAAATTTTCATTGTGCGATGTTTAAAAGTTTTAGTGATTTATATTTTTTTCTAAAAACATTCAATGCAGATTTTTAAATTTAGATATTAATTTTTCAGTATTTCTTCAAAGCTACTAATAAAAAAATAAATATTTTTCAAACCAAATTTATAAATTAAAATAAATTGTATTTTTATGGTATGGTGTATAATTTTGATACTTATTAAATGATATTTTCTAATTATATGATTTTGTAATCATTTGTATCTTTTCATCAAAAAGTAATTAAACCACGGATCATAAAAATTTCAATGTGAGAGTTTAAAAAAATCAATATATAACATATATATAAAAATTCAAATTTTTATTATATGGTTAATTTGGTTATTTAATTTATTTTAAAAATTTAAAGATAAACAAAAATGATAGAGAATCATTTGTATCAAATCTTTATTATTTAAAATCAATAATCGTCATATATACTTTAGCCATATCATTTAATTCCGTAATTTTTATTTAAAGAAAGAATAGAAGATTAATTTAATTAAAAACTTATTATATATTTAGATTGACTAATCTATTTCTCTAAAGATTCTAAGAAATAATGTGGTAATGACATATAGCTACCTAAAATGTTGTAATGTTTCTCCTTTAATATATATAAGAGATATTAGTAATCTGTTCCTATACATCTTATTGATTCAGTTGCAACTAATTGAACAATAATAGAGAGCATATTATGTATTGAGAGTTTAATATCTCGAGTTCTTGAGCTGGTTCTAATGAATTAAGGGTGGATTCTAGCCGCAAAGATATCTATCCCACATTAAGAAGTGAAATCTAAGTTTCTCTTTCATGTAATCTGTTGTGTTTTTTGATTAGTTGATAGGATCACAAGTTTTGGAGGTGGATCTCTTGTGTTTTCTTTTGGTAACAAAATTTTATTATTTCATACTTTTTTTAATTTTTTTTATGGATCGAAACCGGTTAAAATATAAATTTTCTGAGACACCGTATATTAGGATGGTTACGAATCGATTCAAAGCAAATAAATGATTATTCAGATGAAACTTATTGGCTCATGAATACCTCTAAAACCTCGGATATCCAATTCTTTCCACTCCTACACGTATGTGTACGTAAAAAAATAAAGATAATTGATTAATTTATAAAGATACCATAATTAACATCAAAAAGAAAAATTTGTTCAAAATATTCTATGAAATATAATATTCTATTAAAATAAGTTAAGTAAAAATAAAATAAAACTAGACAATTGTGATTGTAAATTTTCTTTCTATATAGAACTTTTGTATAATTCATAAAACCGTGTATGTAAGTTTTATATTGAAAAAATATAAGGTAATATATAGTGTGAGCACAATTATGTAGAGTTTGGATGAAAAACTATATGTATGTGATATATGATACGTCAACGTATCCATTATCAAATTGCTATGAAACTGTCACATGATAAACATAATATTAATACATTAAATGACAATGATTATCCTTTCATATAGGGGATAAATTGATGTGAGTCAAAGACTTATATTAATAATAGTACACTGGAACTATTTATAGAAAATAATTATTAAATAATTAAAATTTTATCCATAACATAAATAAAAATAAAAGAACATTCTATTTTATAAAAAAACATCATATTTCTATTTTATAAGATTTTACCATAACATAAATAAATATAAAATAACATTATATTTTATAAAAAAAACATCAAAACATATTTCTAAAAGGTGGTCAACTAAATCGTTTTGGATAACATTAACACATGATTAAGACCCTATAATTTATTCGAGCCAAAAAAAAACAAAATAAGTAAAAGTTGAAGAACTAATTTATAATTATAATTTCTTACAAATAAAATAATAGTTTTAAATTTGAAACAGTATTATTTAGTACTTCCGTATGAAATGAAAAAAGAAGTACTATTAAAACAAAAACAAAAAAATTCAAAATGAAGCCAAAAAAATGAATCATCACCAGAGATGATTATTAGAGATGTCTTAGCTGATTTTATACCTGTTCTAAAATAGTAGTTTAAGACAATATCTAGCAAACGTTAGATACTGTTTACTAATAATAATCACTGTTTTGTCAGCCTCCACAATCCATATGTAACTAGAAAAGTGTCTAAAAAGAGATTTCCTGTCAGCATAAACCGATTTATTAATTTTCAGATAAATTCAACTTAAAACCACTTTATTAACGACTCATCGGTCTTTAAATTTGGTAAGCATATAGTGACTGAACATTGGTCTATTATCCTTTTCTAAATCTGGTCTTAATAATTATTGTCCAAGACAGAGGTTTACATTTCAACTTCTGTTGAACTTCTTATCATTATCTTCTTCTTTTTAACACAATTTCTTATCATTATCTAACGATTTCTTATCTAACAGACAAAATTAGAAAAAGACAGATAATATGGTCCAATCTATATTACTACTTTCTTGGCGTCAAAAAAATGGCGAATCTTCCTCTAAAGTCTCCGACAATCGGCGCCCACTTCAATACATACATGTATCTACAAGCTCTCCTATTGCCTTGTTCTACTTTATAGCCTTGAGACTCTTTCTGCACTTAAATCATTTCACTTCTCATTCTGGATCAAGATAGTCTTTAAAAGACTCTAAATCTTTCCAAGATTCAAATCTACAGAGAGATCTTAAGATTCTATAGCCTCACTCTTGTTTCTAAAAATGGGTAGCGAGATTCATCAATCCGGCGAGACCGTACGTTTCTTGATTCATTTACTCAACGGAAGATGGTTCATGGTCTTTGCTTCTTTCCTCATCATGGCTTGCGCTGGAGCCACTTACCTCTTCGGGACTTACTCTAAAGATATCAAATCCACTCTCGGTTATGACCAGACAACGTTGAACCTCTTAGGTTTCTTTAAAGATCTCGGAGCAAACGTGGGAGTCATGTCCGGACTCATAGCTGAAGTCACACCGACTTGGTTCGTCCTCATCATCGGCTCCGCCATGAACTTCGTGGGCTACTTCATGATCTGGCTTACCGTTACAGGGAAAGTAGCTAAACCAAAAGTTTGGCAGATGTGTCTCTACATATGCATTGGAGCCAACTCTCAGAACTTTGCAAACACAGGAGCTTTGGTTACTTGTGTCAAAAACTTCCCTGAGAGCAGAGGAGTTATGCTTGGTCTGCTCAAAGGTTACGTTGGATTAAGTGGAGCAATCATGACGCAGCTTTACTTTGCGATTTACGGTAACGACTCCAAGTCTTTGATTCTGTTGATCGCTTGGTTACCTGCTGTGGTCTCCCTTGTGTTTGTGTATTCCATAAGAGAGAAGAAAGTTGTGAGGCAGAGGAATGAGATTAATGTGTTTTACAACTTCCTTTACATCTCCATCTTCTTGGCTTTGTTCCTCATGGCTATGAACATCGCCGAGAAGCAAGTTCATTTCACCAAAGCTGCTTACGTTACAAGCGCTACTATATGTTGTGTCTTACTCTTTGTTCCTCTCACCGTCGCGGTTAAGCAAGAGATTGAAGTGTGGAACATGAAGAAGTTGGAAGTGCCTAGCGAGGTCAAGGTCGAGAAGCCCACAAAAGAAATTGATCTCAAGGAGGATGGAGAAGAAAAGGAGATGAAATCTTGTTTATTGACTGTATTTAATCCACCGTCAAGAGGGGAAGACTACACAATACTACAAGCATTGTTAAGCCTAGACATGATAATACTATTTTTAGCAACTTTCTGCGGTTTAGGATCAAGCTTGACGGCTGTAGACAACCTAGGACAAATAGGGGAATCACTCGGCTATCCGAGCCATACGGTTAGCTCTTTTGTGTCTTTGGTCAGCATATGGAACTACTTCGGTCGTGTGTTCTCTGGTTTTGTCTCTGAATATTTGCTTGCCAAGTATAAATTACCTAGACCGCTCATGATGACATTAGTCCTCTTATTAAGCTGTGCTGGCCACCTACTCATCGCCTTCCCGGTACCAGGCTCGGTCTACATAGCATCCATTCTAATGGGATTCTCTTTCGGCGCGCAGCTTCCTTTGCTATTTGCTATCATATCAGAACTATTCGGGCTCAAGTACTTCTCTACATTGTTCAATTGTGGACAGCTTGCTAGCCCGCTTGGATCTTACATCTTGAACGTTCGTGTCACGGGAATGCTTTATGATAGAGAGGCCATGAAGCAGTTAACGGCTCGGGGGCTAACTCGAAAAGATGTGAAAGACTTGACTTGCTTAGGAAGTCAATGCTATAAATTGCCGTTTGTGATTTTGGCTGCGGTGACGTTCTTTGGAGCGCTTGTGTCGTTGGGTCTAGCGATAAGGACGAGAAAGTTTTATCAAGGTGATATCTACAAGAAGTTTAGGGAGAGTCATGAGTCCGATCAGTCTGTAATGGTCTCTGACTCAAGAAAGTCTTGATGAGTCAAAAAAGAAAAGATGTTGAAATTTATTTGTATAATCATTACCAGACAAATTACATATTATGTCTGTTGAATTATAGATGAATATTTTTTTTATAGAGATCCGCTTCTTTACATATTACAAAATGAAAGAGTTCACCTTAAAATAAACTAGATTTTGATCCGCGCTTTTCAAGCGCGGAAATTTTTTATGATTAAAAATTTATATAATTGTGTTTTGTCTTAATTTAAAGAATGTTTTGGTATAAAATTAGATTACCAAAATTTGTGGTGATAGTTGTTTTTCATTAGTTTTTAGTTTCAGTTTTTATTTTTAGATTTTGTTTTAAATTTTGGTTTTTAGTTTTTAAGTTTCCATTTTTGATTTTCAGCTTTTGGTTTGAGTTTTTAATTTTTAGACTCGCTGAGTTAGCTTGAACTAATATTACCAACAAACAAATCTCAATTAATCGAACATGTAATTTAAAACTGAAAAGATGACAAAATAATTTTCTAAATTTTTTGAAATAGTTTATCTTGTAAATAAAAAAAAAACAAAAAATATAACCTCCGTTTTCAGCTTTTGGTTTTGGATTTTAGTTTTTAGATTTGGCTTTTGGTTTTGCTTTACACTTCTTTTTTTTTTAAATCTGTAAATTATTTAAGAAAAATAAAACAATAAATTATTTAAAAGTTACCATTAAAATTTATCAAGATAGAGTAATTGTTATTTAAAATAAAAAATATTAACATGTTTTAAAGTACATGATTTAAATAAGTAATTAATAATATATAATTTTGTTTTGTTGAAAATATTAAATATTTTTGGGCTAAAAAATGTTAACATGTTTTAAAGTACATGATTTAAATAAGTGGTTAATAATAGGTAATTTTGTTTTGTTGAAAATATTAAATATTTTTTGGCCTGAAAATAGTAATTGATTTTTGATCCATTAAGGTGGAAAGTTTATTTGATGTTTTTTTGGAGTTTTTCTTTAATACTAAGCCCAAAAACCAAACAATTAAATGTCATAAAAACAAAAGTAAGCCAAAAACTCTATTCCATAAATAACCGCCGGTTTAATTTAAGTAATGCAGTTCAATTAACTATATAACTTGTATTATTTGTAACACTCTAGAAATGGTCCAAATTTAAATGACAACTTGTATCAGTAGATAAAAAGAATGACTCTATTTTAATAGAATAGATCCTCTCTGACACTCTTCCTTAAGTGGTCGTTTCCATGGATTTCTTCTTCAGCTTCTGCCCAGTTCTTCAGCCTCCAGTCCTATGAAACAACTCTCCTCTCCCATAGCTATGGTGGTGATTGTGTTCTTCCATCAGTACTTCATTCACTGTAGCTCCGTCTCCAGATCCGCCATTGTGTTTGCCTTTCTCGATGCCGTTCAAAGCTCTCTCTCTGCAGCTGTGTTCAAAACTCTCTTTCTACCGGAACCACCTGATCACCGTCATTTCCGGTGTCGTTCGAAGCTCTCTCCCTGTCGGAACCACCAGATCCTCCCGACGCTTCATTCCGCCTTGTTGTTCACCCGCATTTTGACACACCTTTCTCCCTTTCTCAAGCATTTTCCAGAATTTTGAAATTTCCAAATCTGGCCAGTGGTGTATACAATGTCTTTTTAGTAGACGTGTTGTATGGAGTTTTCATTGTTCTTCTCTCATTCTTACCACATCAAGCTTTTACTCAGATCTTAACTCTAATGCCTCCATTCAAGATGGCGACAAAGATTGGTGGTGGTGGTGTGAAAGCTTAAGTGAAACAGAGGAGAACAAAGCGAGATTTTCAAGATTTAAACTTCATTCTTATTCAGCTTAAAGATAAGAGTTTTACAAGATAGATTATTTATATGAAGAGAACTAGTATAACCCTAAAGGAATATACTGTAGCATATTATGCGTAGCTGTAAAGCTTCAACTCAAGACTCATCTTCAAGGAGACAAAATCTGTTTTCCAACTTAATGGTAGAGTTCGTACTCTGTCTCTCTGCAGCAATGGATGCTTTGTCTTTACGTTTTGCTGACTTAGCCGTTAGGGTCTTTGACTGGATGATGGGCTTTACTTGTTGACGCAGGCCCATCACTTCTTCATTCTTCATGCTTGATGGGCTAGCTCTGTTTACAGCCCCTCGCAAACTCGAGGTGGGAGCTTCTACCACACCGAGTTTGAATCGAAACTCTGTAAAGTTGCGTATGGGTAAAGACTTGGTGAAGACATCGGCTATTTGCAGACTTGCTGGAATGTGTTTGACAACTAGCAATCCCTTAGATACTCTTTCTCTTGCGTAGTGATAATGAGTTTCAAAGTGTTTTGTTCTTTTATGCAGGACCGGATTTGCAGTCAAGTGAACCGCAGAGAGGTTATCACAATACACCTCAGCTGGATCAGTGGAGGTCACGCCAAAGTCTTTGAGAATAGCTGATATCCAAGACAATTCAGCGGCTGTATCAGAGAGACACCTATACTCTGCCTCTGTAGATGATATAAGAACACTGTCTTGACGTTTTGCTGACCAGGAGATGATGTTGGAGCCTAGGAATGTGCAGAAACCTCCAGTAGATCTCCTAGTATCTTTGCAGCCAGCCCAATCACTGTCGCAGTATGCGCGCACTGTCCAATCTGTATCTGCTGTGAGCGTAAGTCCCATTGTAACAGTCCCTTTCAAGTAGCGCAGTATTCTCTTGAGGAGATGGAAGTCTGAGAGAGTAGGCATGTGCATCTTCTGGCACACGAAGTTGACTGCATATTGGATGTCTGGTCTGGTAAGTGTTAGATATTGTAACTTACCAGCAAGACTGCGAAAGTAGGTTGGATCTGAGAAGAGTGTATCTTGATTTGGTACACGATCAGTTTGCAGGGGCAAGAGAGTAGGCATGTGAGAGCAGTCAATCATACCTGCAGCTTGAAGGAGATCCGTTGCATATTTCTCTTGATTCAGAAATAAGCCATCTTCTGTATAAGTTGCTTGGATCCCTAGAAAATAGCTTAGAGCTCCCATGTCTTTCATTCTGAATTTCTCACTCAATGATTGTAAGAAACCAGACATAAGTCGCTTGTTGTTTCCTGTAAGAATCATATCATCAACATACAAGAGTAGCATCATGATGTTTGCCCCTTGTTGATATAAGAATAGAGAAGGATCATGCGTGTTGCACAGGAAACCAAACTCTATGAGATAAGAGCTAAACTTGTCAAACCAAGCTCTTGGTGCTTGTTTAAGCCCATAGATAGCTTTATGTAGTTTCCAAACATAATCAGGATTGTCTTTGTCTTCAAAACCAGGAGGTTGTTGCATGTAAACTGATTTGTGTAGCTCCCCATGTAAAAACGCATTCTTGACATCTAATTGTTTGATGTCCCATCTCTCAGTCACTGCAAAGTGTAACACCATTCTGACTGTTGCCGTACTTACTACCGAACTATAAGTCTCCAAGAAATATATTCCTTCCTCCTGTTCATATCCCTTTGCAACTATTCTTGATCAGAAACATTTGAAAGAGCCATCTGAATTGAGTTTAACTCTGTGAATCCAACGACTCCCAAGAGGCCTCACTCCTTGAGGAAGAGGAACCAAGCTGAACGTATTTGTTTCCTTGCAGGTGTCTATTTCTTCAACCATTGCGCTTGTCCACCCAGGATGTTTAAGAGCTGCAGTTATTGTCTTAGGCTCAGTAGGTATGCCTTTTACAGTGTGCATACCATAGCGTGGATTGGGTTTCACGATGCCTGCTCTTGCTCTAGTGATCATGGAGTGGACATTTTCTTCTTGAATATGTTGTGGAGGAGATAAGATAGGTTCCTGTTGTGCATCATTCTCTTGTTCAGACGCAGAATCAGTTGTATTGTCTGATGCAGAACTCTCTAAGTGAGGAGATTCTCCTGATGCTTCTGTAGCATTCAAGGTTGTCATGTCTGTAGGTAAGGTGCAGTAATTTCTTCTTCAGTATATGTCGTTGGTGAAGTCTGAACTTCTGCTATTGTCTCAGTGTTTTTCCTCCAAGCTTGAGATAGGGGAGTGATGGGAGGTGGAACTAGCCCTTTGTATTTGTCTGAGAATGGGAATGTAGCTTCGTCAAAAAGGACAGGTCTGCTCAGGTATACACGTCCTGTGGGGGGGGGGGGTATAAACACATGTAGCCCTTGTGTTTCTCAGAATATCCCAAGAAAACACACTGCAGAGACTTTGGATCAAACTTATGTTGAGTGTAAGGCCGCAGATAAGGAAAACAAGCACTGCCAAATACACGCAGAGAAGTGTAGATAGGTTTGATCTTGTTGAGTCTTTCATAGGGACTTACTAGATCAGTATTTGCAGTCGTAGGTAGAAGGTTGATCACAAAGTTAGCAGTAATAAAGGCATCTACCCACAGAGTCGAAGACATGTGCGCTTGAAACAGCATGGAGAGACCTAGTTCAGTAATGTGCCTATGCTTTCTTTCTGCAAGGCCATTCTGTTCCGGGGTGTGTGGACATGAAATATAATGTCTGATTCCACGGTTGGTGAGGTGGGAGATGAACTGATTATTGAGAAATTCTCCCCCTCCATCACTCTGAAAAATACCAATCTTCTGTTTAAAGCATGTCTCGACAAGCTGCTGAAATACTTTAAATTTTGAAAATACTTCAGACTTTAACTTAATAGGATAGATCCAAGAGAACCTTGAGTAGTTATCAATGAATACAACATAGTATCTGAATCCCTGCACTGAGACAACAAGAGCTTGTCCCCAAACATCACAATGTATTCTTTCTAAAGGTTTAATGGCTTGAAAAACAGACTCTAAAAACGGAAGTTTACATGACTTTCCTAACTGACAAGCTTCACACACTGACTGAGACTTCTTATTGATGGTGATAGCTTTTATTGAGGATAGATGTTGAAGAACTTGAGGATGAGCATGCCCCAGTCTTCTATGCCAAATCTGATCAGATGCAGCTTGCTGTCGAACTGAGTAGAAGGCCAGAAACTGAGGAGTGTCCAACCGCTAGAGACCTTTATCCTTTCTTCCCTGACTGAGAAGAAGTTGCGTGGCTTTTTCCTTAACATACACATGTGTAGAGTCAAAAGTAAATTCACAAGGATAGTCATCTGTTAACTTTGACACTGACAATAGAGATTTAGTGATATTAGGACAAACCAATACT